GGCTTGAGGGAGCCTCTCTGCCTTGGAATACTCCATGTGTATTGGCACATATCAAAGCCGGGAGGGTAATGCACTGCTAGACTGAGAAGACTACAATAAATACCTAACTCTTCAATGCTCAGGCATTGAATATCCACAAACATCAAGACCATCCAGGAAAACATGACCTCACCAAACAAACTAATTAAAGCACCAGGGACCAATCATAGAAAAACAGAGATATGTGACCTTCCAGACAGAGAATTCAAAATAGTGGTTTCAGGGAAACTCAAAGAAATTAAAGATAATACAGAGAAAGAATTTGGAATTCTATCAGATAAATTTAACAATGAGATTGAAATAATTAAAAAGAATCAAGCAGAAATTCTGAAGATGAAAAATGCAATCGACGATAAATAATGCATCAGAGTCTCTTAATAGTGGAATCGATCAAGCAGAAGAAAAAATTAGTGAACTTGAAGACAAACTATTTGAAAATATACAATTAGAGAAGACAAAAAAATTTAAAAGAATGAAACACACTCACAAGATCTAGAAGTAGTCTCAACGGGCAAAGCCAAGAGTTCTTGGCCTTAAAGAGGAAGTAGAGAAATAGAGGTAGAAAGTTTATTCAAAGGGATAATAACAGAGAATAAATATTCAAGTACAAGAACATTATAGGACACCAAGCAGATTTAACCCAAATAAAACTACCTGAAGGCATTTAATACTCAAACTTCCAAAGGTCAAGGATAAAGAAAGGATCCTAAAGCAGCAAGAGAAAAGGAACAAATAACATACAATGGAGCTCCAATACATCTGGCAGCAGACTTTCAGTGGAAACCTTACAGACCAAGAGAGAGTGCCATGATATATGTGATGGGCTGAAGGAAAAAAACCTTATACCCTAGAATAATATATCCAGTGAAAATATCCTTCAAACATGAAGGAGAAATAAAGACTTTCCCAGACAAACAAAAGCTGAGGGATTTCACCAACAGCAGACCAATCCTACAAGAAATGCTAAAGGGAAGTCTTCAATCAGAAACAAAAGGACATTAATGAGCAATAAGACATTATCTGAAGGTACAAAACTCACTAGTAATAGTAAGTACACGGAAAAACACAGAGTATTATAACACTGTAATTGTGGTGTGCAAACAACTCTTATCTTAAGTAGAAAGACTAAAAGATGAGGCTGGGCACAGTGGCTCACACCAGTAATCCCAGCACTTTGGGAGGCCAAGGCGGGCAGATCACGAGGTCAGGTGATTGAGACCATCTTGGCTAATACAGTGAAACCCCATCTCTACTAAAAATACAAAAAAAAAAAAAAATTAGCTGGGCGTTGTGTCATATGCCTGTAGTCCCACCTACCTGGGAGGCTGAGGCAGGAGAATCACTTGAACCCAGGAGGTGGAGGTTGCAGCGAACCGAGATGGCACTACTGCACTCCAGCCTAGGTGACAGAGTGAGGCTCTGTCTCAAAAAGACAACAACAAAAACTAAAAGATGAACCAAACAAAAATAATAATTACAACAACTTTTCAAGACACAGTACAATGAGAAACAACAAAAAGTTAAAAAGCAGAGGGACAAATTTAAAGTGTAGAGTTTTGGTTAGTTTTCTTTTTGCTTGTTTATTTCTTTGTTCCTTATTGCAAGCAGTGTAAAGTTATCAGTTTAAAACACTGGGCGATAAGATAATATTGCAAGCCTTGTGGGAACCTCAAATAAAAAAAACCACACACACTCAATTAATACACACACACAAAAGCAACAAATTAAATCATACCACCAGAGAAAATCACCTTCACAAGAAGAAAGACAGGAAGGAAGGAAAGAAGAAAGAGAAGACCACAACCACTGGAAAACAAATAGCAAAATGGCAAGAGTAAGTCCTTACAGATCAATAATAACCTTGAATGTTAATGGACTAAACTTACAGTCAAAACTGTTATGGAAAGAACTGTTGGGAAAAGCAGTTCTCCCCGTCCCCACACACACCATTTTTCATCAACTCTAGATGAGGTAAGCGCCCCCAGATGCCTTAGGCGTAGCATTCTTTGGGGTGAAGTCCCTTCCTGCTTGGAGTCTAAAAGCAAGTAGTGACACTGTTTCTGCCTAATAGACCTTCAGTCTCCAGAGTGGAGAATCTGCCTTTGTGTGGGGTCTTAGTAAGAAAAGCTAGGATCCAGATCGGATCCTCTCTCACCCTGCTGCAGCCAGGGAGTGTGTATGTGACTTAGACTTAGCCAACCAAATGCTCTTTCTTTGTACGTGGACATTTGGGTGAGAAGGGTGGGGAAACACAGATGGCTGCAATACCACCAGAGGTCGTGGGGTGGGCAGGCTGAACCGTTTCTGTTAAGAGACTGTTGTTGTGGTTCTTGGGGCCTTCCTCTTTGTTTCTCGGTTCTTAACTGTTCTCAAGCCTGATCCATCAGCTTCCTTCTATTCTGTCAGTTCCCTGACAGTCTTTCAATAGGTCCCTTTTACTTAAGTTAGCTAGATTAGTTCTCCAGCTTTTAACCAAGAATGCTTCCTGGTGGAACCGAGCCTCTCTCACCCCTGTGGTTTGGCCAACAGAGAAAAGAATCTCTTGGGGGAGCAACCTTGAACTTGGCTTTGTTTCCAGGCTTGCCTCACTGTGGCAGGCTGGTCTTAGGGTACTGCCGCGGCTACCAGGGCCCTTCTCAGTGGGATCATTATGCCATATATTGATCTTAAGTGTGACTTCCTCTCTGTCTCATGTAGGATAGGTCCTTAACACTGGCAAGAACTAACCTCCCAGAATCAGACACAGAGGAGACGGCTTCTCTAGGACCCTTCAGTGACAAGCTAGTGCCAGTTCTTGTGGTCAAGGGTCGACATGGGTTAGCAACAGAGAGGTAAATGAACTCTTGGGCTGCTGGAAAGTTCCAGCTGTGCATCCCCACCCTCCCCTGTGTCTTTTCTCTTTTGTGTAAATTTCCATTCCTGATAAGGATGGACATGTGGGGAAACTCATCTTTGTTAACACAATGTCATCCCCCAAATATCACTGGAGGGGTTGTGGCCTGGAGTTCTGCATCCAGGGGCTTAGTGCAGACTTCTCAGGCTGGCATGGAGGTGGTGCTGTTTGCATGTGGTCAGTCTGAACTGATAAAGATACTACCAGGGTACTGGATAAGATTCACTAGCTAAACCTCACTATGCATCTCTGTATTTGGATTAAAGAGGTTAGTTAGTGAAAAACAGGTGAATTTCACTTCTTTGGAGTGGTGCAGAGGATTTTCTAACACAAAACTCAGACGCTATAAAAAGACAAGATTAACAAATTGATTGCATAAAAACTTCAAATTTCTATAACAGAAAACAAAAAGCAAACTGAGAAGTAGTAGCAACTATTGTGTCAAAGAGATAATTTTCTTAATATACAAAGAGCTCTTACAAATAAATCCAATTAAAAATGGGAAAAGGACTGGGCATGGTGACTCATGCCTCCCAGCAATTTGGGAGACCAAGATGGGCAGATCACTTGAGGTCAGGAGTTTTAAACCAGCCTGGCCAACATGGTGCAACCCTGTCTCTACTAAATTAGCTGGGCGTGGTGGTGCAGGCCTGTAATCCCATCTACTCAGGAGGTTGAGGCAGAAGAATCACTTGAATCCGGGAGGTGGAGGTTGCAGTGACCCGAGATTGTGCCACTGCAGTCTAACCTGGGAGACAGAGCAAGACTCTGTCTCAAAAAAAAAAAAAAAAAAAAAAAAAGGCAGTTATTTCACTGCATGTGCCTCCAGTAATTGCTCTGTGCAAAATATACAACTATTCCATCACAGGCCATTAAGGGTGCCTCTCTCCATTCTGAGATTTTCCACTTGAGTTTCTAGGCAGTTTCTCACCTGTTTTCAAGCAGGGTTCGGGCAACCATTTCTTCAACAGCGCCAGCCCTAGGAACACCAAGATACAGGCCATCCTCCCACTCCCTGGCACCCTCCGTTCCCCCATGCTGAGAATGACAGGTAAGTAACATGGTGGTCGGTACTAAAATGGAGAGTCAGTCGGATGCAGTGGCTCACATCTGTAATTCCAGCATTTTGGGAGCCTGAAGAGGGAGGATGGCTTGGGCCCAGGAGTTCCAGGAGACTCTGGGCTCAAGCAAGGAATTCATGGAGAGAGATAAATCTATTTATCTATCTATCTATCTATCTATCTATCTATCTATCCATCTATCTATCTATATATAAATAGATCTTGTCTCTCTCGCGCGCGCTCTCTCTCCCTCTCTCTCTATGTGCGTGTGTATATATATATACACATAATTTTTTTAAATAAAATTTAAAAGACGTCCAACAGGTGTGCTGGAGCAGTGTCTTTGCCTAGGGAGGTGATGACAGGGCAGGCTCCACCCAGGAGGAGCTGAAAGAATGGGAGTTCCGCAGCAGAGGAGGCGGGCAGAGCTTTTCTCCAAACACAGGTATACCACGTGCGAAAACAAAGGGGTATGCGAAGGCCGGGTGCATGTGTACAGCTGCAAACTGGGAAAGAGGCCCCAGGCTTGGGCGATGAGGGTTTTTTCCTTCATGGATTCCCTTCCTGCCCAGGGTCCTCTCTTGCTGGTCGGGGGCGCCTAACAATAATCCTTGCCACGGGTTCGTAGCTGAAAACGACGTTCAAGTTCGTCCATCCACCTTTCAGATTTTATAGACAAATACACAGAGGACTTAGAGAAGTGAAACGGCTTGTCTCAGGTCACAGCTCTGGCCAGCACTGGGGTCCTGACGGCCAGTCTGCGGATTTTCCTGCCTCTGGCCTGCGGGCACTGTGCAGGCTATCAACTGCAACCCTGCTCAGGGGACCTTGGTCCGGTTCGTCTCCGGGCGGACTACCTCTCCCACAATGCGTGGGGCCCAGACTCCTTCCCGCCCTCCGGCTTTGGGTGCTGTCTCCGCCAATAGAAAGGCAGAATTCCCAGGGCCGTTCTCGGCAGCCAATGAGCGCGGCGGTGGGCGGACCTGTCCCGCCCAGGACTCTCCGTGCTCCACGGGCTTGAGCCAGAGTGCAAGGGGCCGGGTCGATTGTTTAGCATATCATCAGAAAGGCCGGGGGCACTTTTGCACGTGGAGCAGCCGCCACCGCAGGACCTGGTGACCTGGAGAGGCAGGTCTGGAGCCGCGCGGACCCCGGGCAGTAGACCGAGGCAAGGGAATAGCGGGCCTGGAGCCAGCTGCCGGCAGTTCTGCTTGGGCTGGGGCATCTGGGTCGCCGTTCGTGTCCCGCGGGCCCGGGCAGCCTCGATTTAGGCGCCTGGCTGCGCTCCGCGAACCATCCCGGACGCTTCTCCTTAGTGGAGCGCTCCTTGCCTCTCCTACCTGGAAGCACAGACTTTGGACGGGAAGGGACATTCGACGACATCCCGCGCAGCCTACGCGTTTTACAGATGGGGAAACTGAGGTTCAGAAGGGACGTGTGATGCCCCAAGTCAGACGGCAACTTAGCTGACCGGGCACAGTTTTCCCAGGCTCCCAAGTAGGAAGGGTTCTCTTTTACCATATGCCACTCTTTCTTCTAGTCATTTGAGTAAAATACATGTTGAGAGCTTCAGTTTTCCCAATAGCTTTTTCTTTCTATCTTTCTTTCTTTTTAAGCTTTTTTTTCTACTTTCCCCCCACCTTTTTATTGAGGGGGATTGTCATCTGAGTCTTTATGATGTAGTAATTTTTAATTTTTTTTTTTTTTCCTTTTTGTAGAGACGGGGTCTCAAGCTGTTGCCCAGGCCAGTCTTCAACTCCTGATGTCAAAGGGGTGTGAACCACAGCAACTCCATCTTAAATAGGAGCTGGGTAAAATGAGGCTGAAACCTATTGGGCTGCATTCCCGGATGGTTAAGGCACTCTAAGTCACAGGATGAGACAGGAGGTCAGCACAAAATATGGGTCATAAAGACCTTGCTGGTAAAACAGGTTGCAGTAAAGAAGCTGGGCAAAATCCACCAAAACCAAAATGGTGACCAGAGTGACCTCTAGTCCTCCTCACTGCTACATTCCTACCAGTGCCATGACAGTTTACAAATGCCATGGCAACGTCAGGAAGTTACCTTATATGGTCTGAAAAGGGGAGGCATAAATAATCTACCCTTTGTTTAGCGTATCATCAAAAAATAACCATAAAAATGGACAACTGGCAGCCCTCAGGACTGCTCTGCCTATGGAGTAGCCATTCTTTTATTCCTTTGCCTTCCTAATAAACTTGGTTTCACTTTGCACTGTGGACTTGTCCTGAATTCTTTCTTGTGCGATATTCAAGAATTCGCTCTTGGGATCTGGATCCGGACCCCTTTCCTGTAACACTGGCCTCAAGCCGTCTTCCTCTTCAGCCTCCCAAAGTGCTGGGATTACAGGCATGAACCACAGTGCCTGGCCTAAAAATAATTTTGTATTGCTTTCGTAATATTTATTTTAAGTCGTTTGCAATTCCACTGCTCTCGATATTTTCTAACTGCCATCTGGTTCTTTTTTCCTGTGTATGAGTTCATTTTTAAAGGGAATTGTGGACTTACTGTGTCTGTGGTTTTTCTGCCTTGCTGGTTTTGTGTTTATCCATTATTTAATTAATTAATTAATTTATTTATTTATTTTTTTGAGACAGAGTCTCACGCTGTCTCCCAGGCTAGAGTGCCGTGTGCAATCTCTGTTCACTTCAATCTCTGCCTTCTGAGTTCAAGCAATTTTTCTGCCTCAGCCTTCTAAGTAGCTGGGATTAGAGGTGTGCACCACCACGTCCAGCTAATTTGTGTATTTTTAGTAGAGACAGGGTTTCACCATGTTGTTCAGGCTGGTCTCAAATTCCTGACCTTGTGATCCACCCGCCTGAGCCTTCCAAAGTACTGAGATTACAGGCGTGAGCCACTATGCCCAGTGACGTTTATCCATTATTTTCATATCAGAAGGATTATCTTAAATCGTTAGTGATTAGTAATCTTTGTGAGTATAATTTTTAAAATATTAAAAAATACATATAGTATAATGCACAGATTTTAAATTTCATGTTTGCTCTTATGCAACCATTGCCAAATCAAGATATCGAAAATTTCCAGCATCCCAGGTGACTCCTTTGAGCCCCTTCCCTGTCATTACCACCCAAAGGTAGCCTTTATTATACCACAGTTTCTGATATGTGCTACTATACGGATGTGCTGTAGTTTATTAGCCATTCCCCTGCTGGTGGATTCTTAAGGACTCAATTTTTTGGAATTAGAAATGATGTTGTGGTTTTGTGTCCTTGCAAATAAATTTCTTTTTGCAAAGATGGGTTTTTGTTGTTGTTATATATAAAGTTTCGGTGCCGCAAAAGAAATAGCACTCTAATATAAAATTTTCTTTTGAATTTTCAGCAAGGCAAGTTACTTCTATAGAAGGTTGCGCCCTTACAGATGGAGCAATGGTGAGCACACACTTGGACCAGGGAGGGGAAGGGGTTCTTATCCCTGATACACATGGCCCTTGCTGCTGTGTTGTTCCCCTATTGGCTGGGGTTAGACCGCACAGGCTAAACTAATTCCGATTGGCTAATTTAAAGAGAGTGACAGGGTGAGTGCTTTGGCGGGAAAAAAATGGTTATGCAGGGTAGAGAATGAGTCAGGGTGGAGCAGGTAGCAGGTAATCTGAATGACTCAGGGTGGAATAGGCAGAAAAGGTTGCTTTGCAAGGAAGTTAAGTTTAAAAGTAGAAGGCAAAGAATTGAACATACTGACATATTGATTCTTTGAAGATACATTTGGAATTTATATCTAACATTTTTAAGATAAATTACTGAGGGGCCAAGACTGGATTGGAGATGTATGAGCATGTCTTAATCTTCATAAAGTATGGTAATAATGCAGTTGAGATATTGCCTTTCTTCCAATGAAGCTCAAAGTGCTTTGATATCTGATCCACTGCTAATCCTTAAGATGCCCCTGTAAGAATAAAAAGATGAGTGTTATTATCTCTCTTTATTCAGTGGTCACTGAGATTGAGTGACTAAGTTGTATGTTAGGTCAAGGTCACACAGTGCAAGTCAGAGCTGACTTAGGAGAGTCCTCAGTATTTCAGTCATGGGTTTTTCTGGGGACTTTGCATTTCTGATACTCATTCTCTGGTGTTTTGGAAGGAACAATGCTGTATTTTTTGTGCTTGTGATACTTTTTTTTTTTTCTTTTTGAGACTGAGTCTTGCTCTGTTGCCCAGGCTGGAGTACAGTGGCGTGGTCTTGGCTCACTGGAACCTCCACCTCCCAGGTTCAAGTGATTCTCTTGCCTTAGCCTCCTGAGTAGCTGGGACTATAGGCGCATGCCACCACACCCGGCTAATTTTTGTATTTTTAGTAGAGACAGGGTTTGGCCATGTTGGCCAGGCTGGTATCGAACTCCTGACCTCATGATCTACCCATCTCAGCCCCCACAAAGTGCTGGGATTACAGGCATGAGCCACTGCGCCTGGCCACTTGTAATACTTCTTAACTTCTCTTACCACAGAGAGAGGTATTTTCAGGAATAAGTCATTTTTCCTTTAAGAGCAACAGGAAGCATCTGTTGGTTTGCATACGTAAGGACCACCTGGTGGTCTGACCTGGGCTCTTGTGAGTTAGATTGCTTTAGGACAGTCTACTTAGTGATTATGTTTCTCTTTTTTGTTTCTCAGCAGGACTACTTGTTGCAATTTGAGGAGGGAGGTGTCTTACCCCAGAGCCTGGCTGGAGAAGACTGAGGTTCAAGGCTTGAAGCCTAAGTGATTGCCCCAGGACCTTGGATGATGGCCACAGAGATATCGAAAGTGACCACTCCGCTGAGCCCCTTGGTCCAGGTGCCTCAAGAGTGTAAGAGTTAAAGAAAGAATAAAAAAAAAAAAAACATGAACTACGGCTAGACACTTAAAGATAGGTTTACTTTAGATAAAACCTGAGAGGGGCTTCTGGCCAATTTCAGTCAGGAGCCCTTTCTCTTCCAGACTAAGAGTATATATTGGTTTTAGGGTGAGGGTGCTTATCACAAGCTTGGAATGTTTCTGTGTGGGGCAGAAGTTTTGGCAGGTTTGGAACGTCTCTGGGCAGAAGGGAGGTTATCTTGGGGCTGACATCTTTCCGGCAAGAGGTGGGTTATCTCAGGACTAGCATGTCTCTGGTTGGGAAGGAGTTTTGAATGTTTCTGGTGAGAGATGTTAGTTTGTGGCTTATGGTCATGCTGACCTTAGCCATTAGGCTGATGCCCTTTGGATTTAGGTTTTTGATTGGATTTAGAATAGGCTTGCCCAAGATGGCGATGCTCCTGCTCTGTCAAAAAGGAAGAAAGACAAGAGGAGGAGGTCACCATAATGATCCTGGCGGATGACTCCTGGGTGCAGGTAGCTGTACTGCAGGAGGATAGCCCTCAGTCTGAGCCCTTTCCCCAGAGTGCCGGCAAGGGCAGCCCCCAGGCAGAGGCAACCAGGGGACTGCAGGATGTACTCGGCCATCTCTGAGAGCTCTGTCATCACTAGCTGAGGCCAGAGGTACACACCAAGGAGCAGATGTTGACTGTGCTGCCAAGGAAATTCAGGCTTGGCTGCAAGAGCATTGGCCTGAAAACAGTGAGGAGGCAGCAGCCCTGGTGGAAGACTTGACCCAGACCCTTCGGGACAGTGGTGAGATATACAACCTCATAGGGAGAGGATGGGAGCACCCTTCCAAGGTGGAGGAGTGTGTTGTTTCAGAGGAGAAGGTGGTGTCCAAGACAGAGTGGGGGACAGCGCCATCCCTCTGCTCTGTCTGTAGGCAGTCAGTGTATTCATCAGCCTTTTAGTGTCCTCACTGTGTGTAGTGTCAGCTCCAGAACTGTGGTGTAGGAGGGGCTTAGAGCTGCATTTGCATAGTAAGCACAGTTTTTACTTATATTTGGAGAGGTTGGAAAGCTGATGGAAGTTACACAGGGAGGAGCTGGAGACCCCTGCAAACCACACTCTGTCACCTTTACTTGGTTGTGCAAGAAACATCCAAATAGTTCCTGGAATTAGAGAAAACAATCTGATGTTTTCAAAGTGATTATTTTTATGAAACCAACATAAATGACAAGTAACCCAGCTAATGACTAGAGACTTTCTGTGGTGTGAAGTCATCCTGGGCTCTTAAAATAGTAATTGGAAACTTGAGTTCTTTGCAATAGTTACTCTATTTGTCTCCAATGTTACTAATAAGTGTTGGGATCCCGACCTGCTGTTTAACTGCCCTGTCTCCCTCCTGGTTTTCCATTTTAAACTGGACTCTCTTGATCACCAAATATTTACTTTAGATGAACCTGTGCCAGTAGAGCTGTCTCAAGGTTCATAGGATATAGCTGTCTTTGTGCTGATAAGAACTACAGAAGTTCAGAGAAGGTAGCGTGGAGTGGAGAGGTCAGGTCAGAGAAGGCTTCCTGGAGGAGGTGACACCAAAGCAGGAGGTTGTAGAAGGGAGTAGAATTTGGAAAGGCATAGGGCAAGGAGCAAGCAGCTGAGAGGAGCTGTGCTGAGCAGAGGCTGGGAAGGGCAGAGCCAAGGTAGTTTATACCTTTGGGTGACAGGAGAGCTGGCTGATTGGAGTGGCAAGTGTGTTTTTAGGAAGTGGTAGGAAGTAGAGTTTAGGGGAAGGGTGGGTGAGGGCTTGGACTGAATGTCATTGGCCTCAGCCGGTTCTTGAACTAGGGCCCAAGGGGCATGGGAGGAAGCGGAGTGTGGCAACAGGATGTAGGTTTGATTAGGGTAGTGAGAGGTAGGGACGGGAGAGCAGCCGGGAAGCTGGGAAGGTGTGCAGTGATGGTGGTCAGCCCCAGATGGGACACATGTGAGAAAGAACTGAAAGTCACAATGGCTAGTATTTCCCAAGCTCTTTCTGCAAGCCAGGAAATATGCTTGGCATTTAATATGGAAAACTCATGTAATCTTTACCACCCTGGAAGATAAGCAGGATTATCACCAGAGATCCCTTAAGATCGCTGTCTTTGTACCAGGCAAAACCAAGATTTGAATACATGTGTCTGAAGACATAGCCCATGTTTTAAGCATTTTGTCACATGCATGATTTTTTTTTTGAGACAGAGTCTTGCTGTGTCGCCAGACTGGACTGCAGTGGCATGATCTCAGCTCACTGCAACCTCTGCCTCCTGGGTTCAAGTGATTCCCCTATCTCAGCCTCCCAAGTAGCTGGAACTACAGACGTGTGCCACCACGCCCGGCTAATTTTTTGTATTTTTAGTAGAGACGGGGTTTCACCATGTTGGCCAGGATGGTCTCAGTCTCCTGACCTCATGATCCGCCTGCTTCGGCCTCTCAAAGTGCTAGGATTACAGGCGTGAGCCACTGCACCCGGCCTGTCACATGTATGATTTTAAGTGACAGTTCCTACTGGGTGTTGGAAGGAGGGGATGCAGATGGAATTAAGACAGTGGCTAACTCCAGAGCATCTGGCCTGGAGGATTCAGAAGAGAGAAGAGAAGAGAAGGAAACTGAAGGGGGTTTAGGGCAGAGACTGTGACAACTGCCAGGGACTGGGAGAATGAGTAGAGCTGCCTCTGGCAAAAGGGACTGATGCCGAAGGCCCGCAGTGACCCAGCCCTGCCCTGGGCACCTTCATGCCTGTCTCACTAAGAAGCCTGTGAGTGGCTGGCATTGTCATTTCACAGACAGGAAATGCAAGTTCAGGAAGCTCATACGGCTGTTAAGTGATGGAGCCAGGAGTCAAACTCAGACCTGTCTCTTTCTGCATAGAGATCCCAGTTTTGCTTGAAGCAAAGTACTTGATTTTCTTTGGCCCTGAAAAAAAAAACTTTTAATTTTATTCTTCCTATTAAAATAAGCAAACTTTCATCCTATTTTACAGCTGTCTTTGCTTCCTTCCTAGTGGAGGTGATCAGTTTGTCATGAACTTTGGATCTGCAGTCAGATACTGTGGAGGAGAGAGTGGTGGAGGGCTGAGGAGAAGCCTCAGGTTATTATTTGGTTGGGGAGGCACAGAGCAGAGGTTCAGGTCTCAGCAGGCGTCAGAGGTGATTACAGCTCTTCCCAGCTGGCTTGCGGCAGGGCCTCTGTGCCTTTCATCTTTCACTGGGCACCCAAGATGGGGCCCACTGGAGACCATCCCAGGTGCATGGGTTTGTCTGTCCCCTACTTCTGCCTCTGAGATTGTCTTTGTTGGTCTTTGTTTAACAAATGCCCCTGACCTTCCTCATGATTGCTCACAGGAGTCTGTGCATTTGTCTTCATTCCTTCTTAAACATTTACTCGACATAAGGCTGCTTGACCTCTATTCTAATTGTCCAGCTTGGGACCTTTGGACACATTCACCCAGCTCGGGATGTTTCCAGAACTGGTTAGACTGTAGTTTAATGTTCATCTAGCAGGAACTTCTAGGCACTCACAATTCATGTATTTTCTAATTCTAATGAAGATCAGACCTATGTTAACAGTTTAAGTGGCAGAGCTTATCTCTATCTGTGAATGTTTCCTAAGGACATTTTACCTCCATACCCAGCCCTAATCCAGGCACTTGGTGTTTCTCGCCTGAATTCTTGCAGCTGCTACCAAACAGCCTCAGCCTCTGCCCCTTCATTGTAGCTCTTTCACTCCTTCCTGAGTGATAGGGTGCTCCTGCTTAAAAACCTTCATGAGCTTCCCATTGTCTACCAAATTAAGCATGACCTCCATGTTCTGCTTGGAGTCTGCGGCCCTATGGGACCTGGCCCAGACCTCCCCTGCAGCCTGCTCCTGCCCCCGGCCCCCCATGCTCTATCCCCACTCCATTCTAGACCAGATCTTGCTGTTTCTTGAACACAGCCTATGTTTTCTAGTATTCACCTTTTGCTACTGAATTTTTTTTTTTTTGAGACAGTGTCTTGCTGCATCCCCCAGGCTGGAGTGCAATGACTCTATCTTGGCTCACTACAACCTCCACCTCCCAGGTTCAAGCAATTCTGCCTCAGCCTCCTGAGTATGAGTAGCTGGGACAACAGGCACATGCCACCATGCCCGGCTAATTTTTGTATTTTTAGTAGAGAACATGTTGTCCAGGCTGGTCTGGAACTCCTGACCTCAGGTGATCCACCCACCTCGGCCTTCCAAAGTGCTGGAATTACAGGTGTGAGCCACCGTGTCCGGCCCTTGCTCCTGAACTTTTGGCTTGGAATAGCCTTGTCCCATCTCTGTGCGACAACATTCCAGCTGTTGTTTGAGTGCCAACCCTTGGAGATCCTCTTCATAAAGCGTTCCTTAAACCCAGTCCCTTTTCTTGGTCCCCAGTTCCACACCCCTGGGAGCACCTCTCATCACCTCTGCTGGAAGTCTTCTCCCCCAGAATATTTGGATTCTTTCTCTTGGTTTTGTGTCATAGTTAATCTTGTTTCCTGTTTATGTGAATACTTGTCTTATTTCTTCTAGGAACCTGTAAAATCCCAGAAGACAAGGAACCTGTCCTTTTTCCTCCCCTCTCCCTTTTTCCTTCTCTTGCTCATTCCACCACCTCTCTCTCTTTCTTGCACCCAACTCCCTCTTCCTCTCCCTCTGTCTCTAATATCACGAACCTCTGGACTCCGCCCTAGAACTCCTGAATCAGAAACTTCGAGGGTGATGCCCAGCACCCCTCTAAGTGATCCCGATTCAAACTCCAGTTTGAGAATCTCTGTGCTTGACCTCTGGTTCTCAAACTCAGCCGCACATTAGAATTACCTGGGGACCTGGAGTCCACTCCCAGGGATTCTGATTTTCTGATTTAATTGGTATGGGGTATTGCATGGGCAAGGGATTTTTGAAAGTGCTCCCGGTGGTTCTATTATGCAGCAAAGTGTAAAGACCACTGCCATAGAGCTTTGTTACCCAGGGGGTGGTCAGTGGGCCAGCAGCATCGGCTTACCTGGGACTTTGTTAGACATATGGACTGTCAATCTCACCCAGCCCAGCTGAAGTGAATTTGCATTTGACAAGATTTCCAGGTGATTCCTATGCTCTTTGAAGTTTCAGAAGCACTGCCCAGGAGAGGAATAGAGGTTATCAACTTCAAGCCTACTCTTGTCCAACAGTTGAGCAAAAGAGTCACAGCTGACCTCTCCAGCCATCCTCAGCATCATCTGGCTTTCAGCTGTCAGAGGCAACAGGTGATTTGTTTTGAGCTTGCTGCCCCAGCAAAATGCTCCCTTAATGATCACAAATGAACACGTGCATTCATCTTGGTCAAATAAATAAATACGGTGTGTATACATGCAGACACATGCATACAGATACATATACACGTCCACACAGCTAGAGACATTTCTTTTTCTTTTTTTTTTTGAGACGGAGTCTCGCTCTGTCGCCAGACTGGAGTGCAGTGTGTGCGATCTCGGCTCACTGCAACCTCCATCTCCCGGGCTCAAAGTGATCCTTCTGCCTCAGCCTTCTGAGTGCCTGGGACTACAGGCGTGTGCCACCATGCCAGCTAAGTTTTTTGTTATTTTTAGTAGAGACAGAGTTTCACCATGCTGACCAGGATGGTCTCGATCTCCTGACCTGCGTGACCCACCTGCCTCAGCCTCCCAAGTGCTGGAATTACAGGCGTGAGCCACCGCACCCGGCCTGGACATTTCTTTATACAAATCTATATTTGTTTAAAAGATCTATGAACCATTAAGTAGCAAATCTCTTTTGCAAAACTGATAATTTCAGCAATTCAGTAACCTTCTGAAAATATGTTGTTTAACTTATTTGTATAGTATAATCAAATATATATATACTAGTGTCTAACTTACAAATAACATATTCTTGGCAAAAATTCCCAGCTTAGAAGTATTTAATATACATTGATCTCTCCTCCTACATCCCTGCCCCAAAAGCCCAGCTTCTTCTTCTCGGGAGCAACCATTTGCATCCATTTTCCATTGGGTGCTGTAACAAAGTTATCACAACTTAGCGGCCTTAAAAAAACCAAATACACACGACAAATTGATTATCTAGTCTAGAGGTCAGAAAGTTCTGAAATGGATCTCACTGGATGAAAATCAAGATGCTTAGCAGGGATGAGTTGCCTTTCTGGACACTCTAAGGGGAGAATGTCTTTTCCTTTGCCTTTTCTAGGCCTTGCTTACAGGCTGCCTGCCATTCCTTGGCTTGTGGCTTCTTTCCCATCTGCCAAACTGGCAATGGTGTTGAAATCTTTCTCCTACTATACATTCGAAATGATCTTCTGCCACCCTCTTCACTTCTTAAAGACCCCTAGTCATTACATTTGGGCCCACCTGAATAACTAGCTAAGCTTCCCCAATTCCAAGATCTTAATTTAACCGGTATCCACAAAGTTCCTTTTGTCATATATGAACTAGTTTAAGATTCAGAGATTGGCCAGGCGCAGTGGCTCCGCCGTAACATCCCCAGCACTTTGGAGCCAAACGGGTTGGATCAGCGAGGTCAGAGATTTGAGACATCCTGGGCTAACCACGTGAAACCCCATCTCTACTAAAAAATATAAAAATAGTAGCTGGGCGGGCGGTGGCGGTGCCTGGTAGGTCCTCGTACGACGGAGGCTGAGTAGGAGAATGGGGTAGACCCGGGAGCGGGAGCTTGCAGTGAGTGCAGATCGTGCCATGCACTGCCTGGGGGAAGAGTGAGACTCTGTTCTCAAAAAAAAAAAAAAAAAAAAAGATTCTAGAGTTAAGATGTGGGACATATTTGAGGGGCCATTAATTTCTGCTTACCAAACCAATCCATTATGTTTTTGGAGCAATTTACCTAGAGACTTTTTGGATCATATTCGTTATATTTTTATTCAAATCTTTTCCCAGCCTACTTGGGAGGCCTGAGGGGGCAGGAGATTTCTATGAGGCCAGGAGTTTGAGACTGAGAGTGGGGTATGGTCATGTCTGTGAGTAGCCACTGCACTCCAGCTTGGGGCATATTATACAAAGTCCCTGTCTCTAAAAAAGTTTAAAAATTTTTTTTATTACAAATGAGATTTCTACATTCTGCTTGCTTGGATATTATTATACTTAACAGTATATAATGGCATAGGCGTTTCCACTTGGACAAGATAAATCTATAATATTTTTAAAGGAATTTTCTTCTGAAATTTTTGGAAGTGTGGG